ATTATTCATTTCGGTGCAGAACGCTAACGAGGCTGGACCGCTTGCTGGACGAGGCTGCGATAGTGGGGCGAGGGACACGGGGCGCGCCAGCTCAGACCAAAAGCAGCTAGCGGAATTTCTAGCGCCAAAAGTTTCTTGACCTTCGCTTTTTTCTCTTAAGAGCTTCCTTCTTCATCATCTACTCGACATTGTGCAACACCACCACCTTTCGCACGCACTGGCCGCGATACATTGCGATGCGATGGCTTCTTCTGCTAGATGCTTGAATGCTCTAGATAAATTCTTTCCATCCGCCAGCTCTGCTGCGCGGCGTCTACGGTTGGTAATTGTGTGTGTGAATATGTCTCTGGTAAGCTCGATTCCTTCTTCAATCCAATCACCCTCTCCAATTCCGATTTCAATGATGAACTTTCGTGTCGCCCCTATCTTAAAGAGCCCCTCAACCAGGCTCCGTGGTGATTAACCTGTCTAAACCAAACGGACTATCTGATCAATCTCCAACTCACATCCGCACATCACCTCACTTCTGCAGAAGAGAATCAAAGCTAACATTGCTTGCTTCAAGACAGATTCAGGTCGATTTGGATCAACTCTATTGTGAGTATACCTGTGCTTCATTGGAGAGAGGCAAGACGAGTCCACGACATCAACATGATGACTAAAACATATACTATCAAATGCCGACTATCAATGACGAGCAAACTGGTTCGATTACCTGATATTGTTGTCGTGGACTCTGTTGTCATCTCACATCATACACACCCTCATCAGTACTCTTACTGACGAGATCCTCGACGATACAGAACCTTGCAGTTTTGCTACAATTACTCGCCTGTACTCTAACAAATGGTATGTTCACAACACTTTCTTTCTTTCTCTTGGAGACTGGGGATTTGAATTGGGGAAGGAGTGTGTGTGCGCGGCCTATGATGTAACAAATCCATGCTAATGCTGACGGTACTTTACGTGCCGGATGCTGAAAATACTTCAGACTTTTCATCTTTCAACTGAGGCTTCCTTTATATGCGCATACTTTCTGTCTTTTGGTTCCTTGTTGCGCGGAATGAGGCTAACTTTGTTCGCGAAGACTTTTAGGGAATTCGATGACCTTTGCTACAGGTTTACATGAATTGAGATGTACTGGTGTCTGGATGTCGGATATGGATTGGGAAGCACCGGTAGTATCGTGTGGTGGCCCTGATAACAATTTTCAAATACAAACAAATTTTGGTCGACAAGAACCCTTTGTCGATTTCTCTTTTCTGTGCCGGCACAATCTCCCCTTACCTTACTAAAGTTTCTTCGCTATCAGTAAACATGAATAAGCTCTCTCCTAACCTTCCCACCCTTCTTCCACACATCCAAGCCCATCCCACGAAGTTTGTGCCCAGTTCCACGTCCACCTCGTCGAGCAGTCTAGTAACCCAGTCATTGCATCACTTAAGTTCCATCCTAATACCCTCGAGGTGCTGTAGAACTATGTATACAGTACGTGTCATATTTACGTTTTAATATCTGATAGAATAGACTCTCTGTTACGGATCCCTTGATTCTAAAAGGGGAACGCAGTTAGTTTAGTGTAGAAGAGAAAGAGAGAGAGTAAAGTAATGGTGGGAGGAGGCGGATACAGAATGTAGACACCAACATTGCATCTCTCTTCTTCTTTACTTTGCCTTGCATCGAGCCTCAACTTACCTGCAAGTTGACCAAATTCATTCACGCTCATCGGAAATGAAAAGCGAAATGGAGGGGGCTGAAAAGGGAAGCAAGAAGAAAAGAGAGAGAAAGAGAGAATAATAAGCCACGATGGCATCAAACCACCAATCTCTTCAATCCGAGCAGAACTTGGCGGTGCTGAGAATCGAACACGGATTGAGATGGTCAGTTTAAGAATTCCTATCCCATTCCCCTTCTCATTTGAGGAAAAAAGAAAGAAAGAAATGGAAGACAGGTAAATTTGTTGCTGTTTAATTGTGTTTGTGAGGAGGTAGGGAGAGGGAAGGGAGAAGTTGGGAGAGGAGGAGAGATGTATTACCACGCCACCTGTCACGGGGGTCATGGGGTTGAGGTGCTTATTTGGGGGTTTGTGGAGGGATTGTTTTGAGGAGTTTGCTAGTTTCGAACGGGGCGTGTGGGATATGAATGGACTAGAGTGGGTTGATGGAAGTGAAGTGGAGTGAAGTTGAGAATCGAGGCAGTGAAGTCTTTGACGTGAGGTGGGTAGTCGGGGAGTGTTGATCTGTAAGTTGGCGAGTTGAAACTTTGAAGTGAGTCGGCCAAAATGTTGGTTTAAGCCGCTTCTATAGAGAACTCACTCGCTGCTTGAGTTGAAGGGGATCTGAATCAGAGCGAACAGGCTCCCCTCACTTCACTTGTGGAAAGCGACGGGAAAGAGATATGTCGATGTGAGATGAAGCTCCAGAATGGAGTGGAGAAATCATAGCTTAAGCTGTCTGCTGTGTAACATCCATCCCTGTGTGGCGAGACGCACCCCATAGCGAGACCGTTTCACGCTTTAGGCATCTCAACTCTCTTTATTACGAATCTAGGTAGGTATAGATAATATATCCTTATCTTCCAGCTATTTCTTCCTTAGAACCATTCTGCTTCGAGAAAATTACAGACTTGTTCGACATGCTGTCCATCGTTTTATTGTCACCGTCGATTGCCATTTCAGATGTGCCCCCTTGCTTGACTGCAACTATCAGAGTAAATTCTGATTTCGGGGGGCCTACGAAAGAAGCACTACCAAGAAAGAATATAGTTGCAAGCTTTGAGTTCATTCTGATATCAGGAAGATGCATTCCGGGGGTTTCACCGAAAGGAGACGGGCTCTCAACAGCGGCATCAATTTGAGTGCGTTAGCGTGGTTACATTACCCAATAATACAGTATCAATTGAACCACTATTCTCTTTCCAGAAAAGCGTGTGTGGCGCACCACTATAGATTTCTATGGAAGAGCTAAGTGAACTCGTTCGCTGCTGCCTAGTGTACTGGATCCTTACTTATAATTCAACTACTTTTCACCTTTTGCTTCTCTCCTTGCTCCCTGATTTTCCAGGACACATATCTCAAGTCATCATCTTATACAAGGATTGCAGCCTTCCTATACGTTAACTACCCTCAGAAAGCCGACACCTGAATATTTCTACATTAGTGATTGGATATTATTCATAAGTATGTTGACGTAGTACGTTCATATAGTTCTTATTTAATGATGTATAGGAGCTGCAAAACAGCAACATCAATGCCGAGCTCATCAGATAGTCCTCCCTTTGGGAGATACTTCGAAATAGTAGCCTTCACCGCTACCATTACCATATCCATCTCCGTCTCAGCAAGCCAAGGACTTGCTACAGGACAGAGCCTATTTGGGATACCCTTCGGTTCTAGCTCTGATTCGTCAACACCAGGTCTTTCTCAAAAAATCACGACATCTGCAAGAGTGTTTTCATGGTCTGCGGCGGCATCGACAGTGTCACTGATGATCTCCATGTTCCTTCAACTTCTTCTGACCGATCCAAGGTTTATAGAACCATTGACATCGACAAATCCAACACTTCGGGGCGGACTCTTTATGAAGATGTTATTTATTGGCAGTATGATTTCTTTAGTGCTACAAGCTGCTTCATTGGCATTGATAGGAGAGGGATTGAAAGTCATCAACGAGCAAAGTGGGGAAATGATACAGGTGAGTGCTCATAGCATTATCTGCTCGATCTAGGTCTAAATACGTTGGCAGTGGAGCTTACTTGGTACTGGAATTCTGCCTCTCGTTGTTTATGGCTATTTGTTTCTGTCCCCGAAACCTCCAGAAACCAAAATTCAAGCCAACGTTGAAGCCGCAATTACACCGCCACCTCCTTCCAATCCAGCAAGTGTGGCTATTTAAAAGTTTTATTTGTGATTTGAACTGGATGGTAGTCCGATAATGGAGAGGAGGTAATTTGATCTAAAACGAAGCTCTTGGCAAAACAGTGGGGCGGCGATGACATGATCATAAATTTTCCAACTGCTGAAGACAGAAGTATTGCGGAGTAGCAGCAATATAATATTAGTCGAAAACTTAGGTCATTTTGGGTTCTTTTGTAGATTTAGAGTCACTTGAAATCAAAGTACCCATGATGGGTCTCGCCACGCAGGGATAGACGTTAATTCTCCCAAGTTTTGTATGTGAGCTCTGAGACAATCATTGTGATTCAAGATAACCGTTTCTCGAACAGTCCCCTTTGTCTGCCAGAGATTCAAAAATTGCAGCCGCTGCTGAAGATCAGATTATCCGCAAATGCTTGACTTTCCTTTGTTTAGATTATACTTGCATCCGAGAAGGGACCTTGGGTTCAAGAAGCAAAAGAAGAGATCGCAATTTGGATCGGAAAAAGTCTTAGTTGTATGTATTGAAAAGTTTCCCGTGGCTCAGAGCCATGCACAAGGAACTCGGTTGACGATGCCGATGAAGTGGCAGATATCCATCTGCATCTCTAAGTGCTCCTTATCTCGGACGATTCTTCGATCTCGATGTTCTGTCATAACTCTTGCTTTGTCAAGCGGATACTTGTAGGATGCAGAATCTCTCTCCTCACTCCGAGGTTCTTCATCAAGATGGGTGGGCTTCAGCTCACTAGCCTGCAGCTGCAGCTGGACCTGGGCGCCACAATCACCAAGAGATATCTCAAGATTGAATTGAACGAAATCAAACGTTTAAACTATAGTCTGTTATTTCAGTTATAAAAGTCCCAAGTCCACTTTCTACTTCAGATTCTGATCTTTGGTAGGTTGGAGAATGAGAAGTGTTCACTGGCTCCGGCCAACCAGGGCTAGCCCCCACCCCCACTTACCTTAAGCCCTAACGAAAACGCACCTCGGCAAAGGCTCTCCAGTCTTTAGCAAGGCACAGGCGAGATCCGTCCTACATTTGCCTTAAAAAGAGAGAGAAGCCTTGCAGATAAGTAAATAATCCAAGTTGGAAGAAAAAAGATTCCAAAAAAATTCCTAGATGTGCAACTGCCGTGAATCGAACACGAACCTCCACCTTACTACGAAACAAGTTTCGAATGGAAGGGTGGAATCCTAACCATTGGACCACAGAAGCGTGTGATTAAGATGTCAGATGCCCAAAATGTCCTTATTTTATTATATACAGATAACAATGCTTTTGCCCTGATAGCCGAGCAAAAACTCCACTAATCGGCATACCATGGCCCTGAAGTGCTTGGCAACACATACCTCAAACTTCCAGCGCAAAGATGAGTAGCCATGTAGACACGAAAACTTGAGTACTGAATAGCCAATTGTTAGGACCCACCCTTCTATTCGGAACGTTTCATTTGGTAGTAAGGTGGAGTTTCGTGTTCGAATACCCTGCGGGGCCACCGCCAGCCTTGGCTGGCGGTTTAGAGGGTCTTCGATAGCAGGTCACTAGAGGATACAACAGTTAACCGACTACGTTAAATATACACCCCAGAATGTCAGAAGCGAATGGCGAGATGATACAACGCCGTCCGCACATCAGGCTGATATCGGACTGTTAAACCCAGGGTCAGATCTAGAGACCAGTTCTAGGTCAACACAAAGTGTTGATTCTGGAAAGACAAAGACAGATACGACACCTTTGCTTGGCAAAGAACACACCACTATTTTATCCCGCTCTGCATCAATAGCATCTTTAATGGACGGGACATTTTCCTCCATCCTCAGAAATTCATCTCAAACGTCCATTCACGCGTCCTAAGCACACACAGAACAATTTGCAAAATTCGTTTTCAAGGGCGCCGTTCTTCAACCTATTTGTTTCGCAATAGTGGGCGTAATCTCTTCTGAATATTTGAAAGGAGGTTAAGAAGGTCTCTACGATCGTTCTCGGCAGATCTTCTGCAGGAAGCGACAACAACCCACGAAAGACAGGCTGCAAAATCCGTGAAGCTACGGTCTAGAAACACGGCACATCTCATCTGCGACGAGTTGAATGCTTCTCGAAATTATTCAAGCAGAAGCAAAATGCTAACCCTCGATTCTGGGATCAGTCGTTAGACTCCAATTTTAGTGAGGATGAAGATGGCATGACCGATATTCGCGAGCTAGGGGCATTCATCCTACATCCGACTGCGTTCCAAAGCCCGTGGATCGAGCTGGAGCTATTCTTAACCTAGTAGCTATACGCACCGTTACCGTTTCCTGACTTAGACTTGGGGCTCTTGCAGGTGGGGTGCTCTCGGGAAGTTCTTCCAAATATTACCACTCGGAAGCTGTCATGGATTTCAATACTCAAGAGAAGATGGTACCATAGACCAAAACTCGAGTATGGAATGAAGCGGATGCACTGGAAGTGTGTAAGTATCCGCTCACCACTTGAGCGAGCCCGAGATATGCCCACTAATCAAAGATGTCACAGCTGTGGCATATCAATCACCGATATTTACGAAGAGTTGGAACCAGGAGCAGTGAGGAAATTTGATTGACAACTGCAAAAGCTTCATTGAACTCGAAAGCAATACAATCGTCTGGAATAATCGAGAGAGGTTGCGTTATCATTAAGTTTTTCTCATCTCTTCCCAGAAGAGTCGGCTCGCCCACTTTTCAACAGAATACTGAGGAAGGTGGGACGACGACTTGCAACCTGTCCCGAGAATGGAATCTCGCCTGGCTGGACTACACTTGGTCGAGGGTTGGAAATGGAAGAAAATATTGATTGGCTTAGCAATCACCTTAATCTTGAGCTCTGTGTTGGCTTTGGTGTTATGCCTCTGGAAAGGGAACAGTGTTCAGGATTCCGTTGGAATTGCTAGTTTCGTTCTCGCTGTTTTCGCGGGTGGTGTAGTGACTTTCCAGGCCTCGGTAAATATGACTTGAGGTTTGTGCCTCTTAACACTATCACCTCGCAGACATGCTGACATTACTAATCGGTCTCAGGATCTATCTTCACTACATAATTGGAAATTCCAACTCTCTTCTCATCCTCCTCTCTACCTCCAGTACTTCGCTATCCCTCTCCTCGTTAAGCAAACCTCTCCCTCTCAGCCAGTCAACCAGCACAGCCCCAGAGTTCCCCTTGAACATACCTCTCCTCAACATACCTTTAACCTCATCTACACTTCGCAATTCAAACCCCAACACCTCCCCATCACCTGGCCTCATTCCCCTACCTTCCTCAACATACATCTCAAACACCGTTCCTACCTCCGGACAACACAATCCTCTCTCACCACCAGCATGCTCCTCCAACCCATCACTCACCCCAAAATAATTCACCCTTCCTATCTCCCTCGCTCTCTCCTTCACAACATCCTCTGATAACGAAGCTTCTTCTCCCGCTTCACGAACCATACATTCCAGCGCCGAGGAGTCAGTATCGACCATCGCCCCAGCGACTGTCACATCGTACATGCCCGCGTAGGTCTGTTTACTCTTCGAGCGTTGAGACACCCAGATCTTCAATTCCGGTTCATCACTTTCTCCGCTCTTAGATTTGGTCGAAGTATAACAGATGAGGTAGACGCAATATGCAATGACTCCAAACAATGGAGCTGCAGCTCGTTCAATGGATGCGAATAAAGTACCGGAAGGACAGTATATTGCATATCGCTCGTCTCGCCAGCCTAATAGGACGCTGAATGTTTGGTGATCACGCCAGTGTTTGAGGATGGATGAGAGTGCTTCGGAACGAGTGGTGGAAGTATCAGCTATAAGTGAGATAGTCTGGTGAGAGGTATCGATCGAGAGTAAAGTGGATAAGTGAGGAGGGAGTTCTTGGATGGCGAGGACGACTGGAGGAGTGACGTAACCTAGGGCTGTGACTGAGGTAGGCGAGACATGTACAAAACGCCACAGATGTGGTATAGTATGAGCATACGAAGGCTCGGTAGGGTAGGGGAAGCTGGTTTAGGCTCAGTTGCGGGTCAAATAGCGGGGAGTAGGAAAGAAAGGCTAACTTGTCACATTCAGCAACTACGTCAAGTAGTGTCATTTCATTTGACATGCTGAAGCGAATTGGATTCCAGTGATGGTTGGTGGAGGTATCAATATATTAAAATCAAAGCTGCTGATGCCAATCATTAGAAGTGAGAGCAATATCTGCTGAAGGATGGATTGATGACACGTGGAGTCGGGATGATTTAACCCGAAAGGGAGCAGATGATAAGCATGTCGAAAACACCAAATCAAAAAATCTTCATAAAAATTATCATCAAATTGAACAAAGATCCTTGATCCTTCATTCCGGACACCGAGCAATTCCTCGCCTTCCTTGTAAATGCCCCTTTTCCACGCTGCAAATAATCTGTTAGTATAATTGGAGAGTGCAGATACGATTACTTTCCATTTAAAAGCGAATATGCTTCTGGAAAGTGAGTGCAGAAACAGGAATGAAACAATAAATATACATGAAAGGGAGGTCAAGATGAGGTGAGATGTTGGTGTTAATGATATCGTTGTAACCAGCAAGGGGAGAACTCTCCGCACTTTCCCCTTCCATCGTAACTTGCATACATCTCATCCTGTTACAAGCCTCCTTTATTCCAACGATGATCTGTGAAGTATCATCTGCAAATAATTTTGTTATGTCCTTGATCTGTATGCAGCTGAATAAGGGAAGAAGTGCGACTTAACGCGTAATAAGAGTCGTTGGTGCCTAATTTTAGGCAGCCACCATCTTCATCAGGACATGAAAACAAGACCTTGCCCTTTGAATAATTATACACTTATGTATCAGTCAAAGGTGTAGTACTAGAAAGCAAATCTTCTCGCCATCCAAACAAAGTCAATTCGAACGATTGGCAGGTGAAATTATAAATATTCTTCGACCTGGACATTTCGCAACTCCTCTTTACTTCACATCCGAATCCAAACAATGGTTTCAAGCGAAAACACCAAGAGTTATCTGAAGTCCCCACAAGAGGATATAAGAAACGGGAGAGAAGCAGAGAAATGGAGGCTCGCACACCTACCGCCAGCCCAAATACTATCACCTTCATCATCTAAACTAGCCACCCTCACCACCAAGTTAAAATCGTTCTTCATCTCCAAGGACAAGCAAACATCTACCCAAGACACCGACCCAACATTCCACCAATTCTCCCTCCTCCCAAACGAACTCCAACTTCAGATCTGGACCTACGCCGTCCAAGCCCCCCTGCGATCCAAACCGCTCTACATCATCATAACCTCGCACCTCATCACACCGACACCTACACCCCACCTCTCCCCACTCACAAAATGCCCCCTCCAGAAACCCACAACATTCTCCTCCAAAACGCTCTCACCATTTTTCTCCCTCTCCGATCCAATTCCCTCACCAAACCCCTCCAACAAGATCTTCTTCCCTATCGCACCGCTCTTACACGCCTGTTCTCTCTCGAGGCATGTTTTTCGAAAGGAGTGGGAGCCGATATTGCCGGTGCATTTGAGGGGTGTTATTGAGAGGACCGGGAGGTGGGTTGTGCTGATGACAAGGGTGCTTGAGAGGCAGGGTCAAGGGATCTTGGTGCTGGAGGAGGAGGTCGGGTGGGAGGGGGTGGGGAGTAGTAGGTGTGGTGGGCGGTTGGATAGGAGGGAGGGGAGGGTAGTTACTTATTATTTGTTTAATTATCTGTGAGAAAAGGAAATGAGGGACAATAAGAGCAAAAGCTCGGAAAAGGTAAGGCTGGGTTGATTCGGCGTCAGCTATTGGACAGTCTGAGGGGTCGCATAGGACTTGATGGCAATTGACTATATGCAAGAATTCACTTCCTCGAAGAGCCTGGTTACATATGACACACACGTATAAATAAGGGAGAAAAGTGGGGGATCTTTGGCAAGCAGTTCCAATCAAATACTCAGACATATTGTATGGTGAGCTGTTCTAGTAGACTGTAGATCTAATGTGGACTCCACCTCACATGTCTTAGCGAAGATCCCTTCGATTTCTCAATCTTGGTAACTTGAAAGCTCTTTATCGTTCCAGCTACAATTGTCAGCAACTTTATCCGAACAGAGCAAATCTCACTTACCTCAAAAACTTCCCACTAAACTCTTTCTCTGCCCCAACAGCCAGCCTAGCCATAACATTCCCAGGCTGTTCTGGCTTCAACAGCTTCCCCTCCTCATGCAGGCTCTTGA